TTTTTTTTGTCAATCAAAGTTTCGTGTTTAAAAATAGTGGGAGAAATAAGAACAGAAGACAGATGATATTTATATTATACGGATGAATTCAAGACATATCTGGAGATAACGAAGAAAGTTCTTGTGAAAATGCAAATTTTTCAAAATTCAAGCAAAGTTTCACTTTATGCTACAAACACATTTGCTGAACAGAATCAGTCTTTTGACCTCGTTTCATTCTCATTTTTTCGTTCTTCTTACGTGTTCCTTTTTTCCAACGATATATATGTATAAGGGAAAGAAAAGGCAAAGAACATGCACAGTATTGAAGTATACTCACCCGCTGATGGCCAACAAAGCACATCCATGATGTATGAGATATATCAAATTGATATCACAGGCGATATATACGGCAGCAAGTACTAGTGATCCTACTATCATATTCGCTAGTATAGGATAATAATATCGCTGTTCATCAACGAAATAATAAGCTGGGTAGACGAATTCGCGGCCACGTGACTCGTTCAGAGGCGCTATGATGTTCAGAATTGGTGGTATGGCCGGTATAAGGATAAACATGAACGCTGATGTAGATATACTGGCTAAATACAAAGAGAGTAAAGTATAAAATAGAATAATAATCTTGTGTAGCGGACGCACCTCGGCGATTTCATTGGTCTTTAGATTTTACTTTTCAAAAAATGTATGGAACAACATTGGCACGAGTTAACAATTATAATAGGAGAACTATCAACACCATGGCAACACGTCGGTGGTTAACATTCTGGTGTTGATTCGTAAAAATTTAGTTGTTAACGTAAAAATTTATTTATTCTCTTTATTACCTTTATATATAGAAGAAAATATTATCGCCTTCCTATAGTACGTGTCCAAAATTTTCAGCTCTCCTTTCGGTCGTTCCATCAGATGATCGAACACGATTTCGCTTAAAAGTTCTTCGAACTACGATTTTAAGAACAGGAATAACAATCGGAGTTATTAAAAATCACACATTAAAAAGTCAATGTTTCACCTTCTTCTCATTCAGGATGTAATTGTACTGTTTAATTAAAATTGTTATACTTATAACCAGATACACCACCTCATCCATCAGCGTGTCTATATTATAAAATACTATTACACGAGATACCTATAACGTATAGAAAAATCACTCTCATTACGATTTCACACTTGCCACATATATTATAAAAAAAGTGCACGAAGCGTGAGAAATATCATCTGTCACGTTTTAAGAAAAGATAAGTAATACCTGGCTTGCAAGGGCAACAATGACTAAAACAAATATGAAAATTCGTATAGAAAATTTAGTGAATCTTCCCTGACGTGGCCACACACCGACTATCTGCGCGAAAAATTTGTTGTCTCTGAGATATTGATCTTCAACTGTCTGCCAATTCATAATTGTAGGAAATGTAGCCAGATGGGACAAATCGAAACGTATATATGGCTCTTAACAAGAGTAATAAGAACGTATAATAAGAGAGAGTTGTTTGTTTAATGCCAAAAGTAGATTCGCTTTATACTGAACGATGTACAGTGTTTTTTCCTCCACTTACATGTTATTATGTAGGAAAGGTTCCTGGAAAAACTAGTGTTCTAATCCGACATTGTAC